TTTTAAAAATGCTGGCCCTGCAAAGCCCAGCAAACCTTCTGCCTCCATCCCTCTCGAGAATCCTTCGCCGTCTCCCAGGCTCCCGTAAAGCAGGCAGCCTCTTGCTTCTTTTTTCCAGTGGTGCTCCATTCAAGCCACTACACAAAGGGAAACAAAGGGCGCAGGCGAAAGGGGAGCCTGCTTTGAGCGGAGCTGAAGAGGCCATCTGCTCCAGCCGTCACGGCTGAGGCTGGGAACCAGGACGGTCCCAGGTTCTGACGGAAGCCCAGCCACTTAGCAAGCCACCCGAAGGCCGAGGCACAGCTGACCGCCCCGCCTCCTCGCCCCATTTGCAACAACCAAGACGGCTGCTTTTATTAAAACACAGATTGAAAACAAGGTCATGTTGAAAGCCTCTCCCTCCCTGCCTTGAAGCAGTGGATGCTACAGAGAGAGGACTGTCATCATCACTATCATCACCATCACCAACATCACCATTATAACCATCATCACCATCACCACCATCATCACCACCAACATCACATCACCCTCATCATAATCTCCATTATCATCATCATCGTCACTATCATAAACCCCATCACCAACACCAACATCACCATTATCACTATCATAATCACCACCATTATCATAACCATCATCACCACCACCATCATCATCGCCATCATCAACACCAACATCACAATTATCACTATCATCAACACCATCTCCCTCATCATCATCACTATCATCACTACCATCATCACCAACATCACAATTATCGTCACCTTCACCTTCACCCTCATCCTCATCCCCATCATCATCACTATTATTATTATCACCATTATCATCACCATCACCATCACAATTGGAGCCCCCAGTGGCACAGAGGGTTAAACCCCTGTGCCGGCAGGACTGAAGACCGACAGGTCGCAGGTTCGAATCCAGGGAGAGGCGGATGAGCTCCCTCTGTCAGCTCCAGCTACCCAAGCGGGGACATGAGAGAAGCCTCCCACAAGGATGATAAAAACATCAGATCATCCGGGTGTCCCGTGGGCAACGTCCTTGCAGACGGCCAATTCTCTCACACCAGAAGCGACTTGCAGTTTCTCAAGTAGCTCCTGACACGACAAAAAAAAATCACCTTTATCACCATCACCATCATTACCCTGGCAGGCATTGTTAGGTAATGTGGTATTTAGATAATTCGCTGCCAAAGAGTTCTAGCAGAAAGGGGACTGGAACTATAATTCCCATGTTTCAGAAGCCCTTTGTTAAATGGCTCTGCCTACCAAAGGTGGTTCCTGTTGGCAAATAGTAGGCATGACAAATGATACCTTCCATTTTAATATGCTGCTGAAATCTACTCCAGTTTTTGATCCAAGTTTGAAAGGAAAACACCCGGGGTAGTTTTCAGCACTTTGGATAGCTCCTTTAAAATAATGCAGTTGGCCCTACATAATTGCTAAGGTCAGGGGGATGGGCCCCACAAAAGAAGGGGAAACCACTAATTTTTAAATCCAAAAGAACATCTACCTAGAGATCTCTAGATCTTCTAGTGTGACTATAGTCAACCTCTACCAGAAGTTGACCACAGAGATGGTGACGATGGCAACAATATTATTTCTTTATTTCCGGCCTCTCCTCAAGGCAAGGTACAACATAGTTAAAGCACATAGATAAGCACACAAAACCTTCAAACACATATTTTGAAAGATGTAGACATCAAATTCAAAAACATCCAGGCTGTGCTGGAGAAACAAGAGATTCCTATAGAGACTATGTCAATCAAATCCTACAGAGAATACTGAGGAAGAAAAGGAGGAAGAAGTGGAAGAAGTGAAGAAGAAGAGGTAGAGGAAAAGAAGGAAGAAGAGGAAGAAGAAGAAGATGATGATGAAGAAAAAGAAGAAGAGGAAGAAGAGGAAGAACTGGAAAAAAGAGAAAGAATAAGAGGAGGAAGAAGAGGACAAAAAGTGGAAGAAGAAGAGGAGGAGGAGGAAGAAGTGGTAGAGGAAGAGGAGGAGGAAGAGAAAGAAGAAGAGGTAGAAGAAAAGGAGGAAGAAGAGGAAGAAGAGCAGGAAGAGGAAGAAGTGGAAGAAAAAGAGGAGGAAGAAGAGGGTAGAGGAGGAGGAGGAAAAAGAGGAAGAAGAAGAGGAACAACAACAAGAAGGAGATTATTTGCCAAATCCAACCAAAACTGACAAGGCAAACTTACTTGCAGCCTGGATCCTGGCCTTGCGGCTCACCACCAACCCAAAGCGATTCCGGGCCATGCAATCATACTCGGCCTCATCGGAAGACCCATCATCCTTCAGCTTCTGAAAGTGGGCAAAGTAGAGCGAGCCATTCGCGAGCGTGAAGGAGCCTTCGCTGTCCACCATCCGTACCCCATTCTTGCGCCAGGTGATACTGACGGGAGGGATGCCTTCCACTAGGCAATCCAAGGCCAGAGGCTGCTCCTGGACCGCTGTATGGTCGCTGGGCTCTAAAGTGAAGGTGAGCTCTGTTGAATGGCCGAGGCCTGGAAAACAGGCAGGAAAGAGAAAGAATAAGTCATTCTAATGGGCATGCACTTGTGGTGCAAATGCACTGTCAATCGAAGGCAGTTTGACACTACTTGAAACGCCATGGCTCAATGCTATGGAATCCTAAGAGCTGGAGTTTGGTGAAGCACTAGCAAAGAAGGCTAAATACCTTCTTTGCTCAAGTGTGTGTCTATACCACATTCATCCCATGTCTTCCCACTTTGAAATGGGACTCCCAGACATGATAATAGAAAGAATGAGGATTACACTATGCAACACAATGTTGAGCCTGGGTTATAAATGCCATTCCCTAATTAGCTCTATCCTTTAAAAACATGGGAAAAGTTTATTCAACTGCACAAACTTTGTTTTTGGGGGGGGACGTCCTGCAATAGCACATTTTGCTCTAGTTCTCCAGTGAATATCTCATCGTTGAATCTCTACCAATCCAACCTAGTTTGTGGCAGCCACAAAAAACAACCAAGTACTTTGAACTACTTTCAAAGTAAGGAAGGACCACACAATTAAAACCAATGTAAAAACTATTCTAAAACTCCTGACTTGACTGTTTAGTACAGTGTTTCTCAACCTTCCTAATGACGCAACCCCTTAATACAGTTCCTCATGTTGTGGTGACCTCCAACCATGACATTATATCTGTTGCTACTTTGTAACTGTAATTTTGCTACTGTTATGAATTCTAATGTAAATATCTGACATGCAGGACATATTTTCATTCACTGAGCCAAATTTAGATACTAGTGAGTTGGGGGGGGGGGGGATTCATTTTGTCAAAGTTGCTGGGATTTATAGTTCACCAACTTTGCGATGGCTTAATGCTATGGAATCCTGGGCATTCAGAACTCCACCAATGATGGAATTGAACCAAACTTGGCACACAAAACTCCCATGACCAATAGAAAATACTGGATGGGCATTGATGGGCATTGACCTTGAGTTTTGTAGTTGTAGTTCACCTACATCCAGAGAGCACTGTGGACTCAAACAATGATGGATCTTGACCAAACTTGGCAATAATTCTCAGTATGCCCAAATGTGAACTCTGGTGGAATTCGGGGAAACTAGACCTTGACATTTGGGAGTTGTAGTTGCTGGGATTTATAGTTCACCTACAACCAAAGAGCAAGAACTGGGGCAAATTTCCCACACAAAACCCCCATGACCAACAGAAAATACTGTGTTTTCTGATGGTCTTTGGCGATCCCTCTGACACCCTCCTTGTACCCCCCCCCCCTCAAGGGGTCCCAACCAGGTTGAGAAACACTGGTTTAGTGGGTTGACTGCTAAATCTGGACCTGGGTTCAGCCATGAAAAACCAATGGGAGCAAGGCACACTCTGAGAAGCAGTCAGTGGCAAATGTCACCTGAAGACACCTTAACTGTCCGCATGGTGAAGTGGTCCAAGAGTGCATCCACACCACAAGAATGAATAGAGTTGGATACCACTTGCAATAGCTTGATGCTATGGAATCCTGGATATTCCAGTTTTCAAACGACACCTCCTGCAATTCCATAGCACTGAGCCGAAATTAATTGGCCCCTGCTCCACCGCATTCAATGTTTAGGATTTCTAATCTCCCAATTTCAAACCGGAGGAGCTCTCAGAGGCGAAACTAAGCCTGGCAGGATGACGCCTGATGTTTTTAAGATGCTTAATGGGTTAATAAAAGCATCAGACAAAAGCCATGTTTATTCTCAGACGCCACCACTAAATGGAGTCTCTCTCCATTTGGAAAAATTCTGCAGCCTGGCCTTTGACCCCCGGCTCGGTAACCTTTCCTTCCTTTGTCTGCCCCGTCCATCTGCCTCTTCTCAGGTTACACTCCAAGCTGATCCCCTCATAATCCAATTTAAGTTGCCATCTTATAAAGTGAGAGTATTTTTCAAACAACGAAATGCCCAAGCTTCATAAAGAAGGGAGATAGATATGTTGTTTGTCTTGACATATAGAACTTTGTGGCATCTTTCTCTTTGATTTTGCATGACGGAATAAGAAAAGGAGGGGCGGCGTATGAAAGGAATGCCATTCCTTGCCAAACAGGCTCAGTTGGGATGCCTGGGAGCAATTACCGCCAACATTGGCTGGGGGGGGGGGGGGGGGGGGGGGGGGAATGATGGAGAGGCCATAGAGAGTCCCATTTCGCAAACGAAGAGCATGAAGGTCCACTTGCAGAGTAATCCCTTCATTCTGCATTTCAGTCCTTGCAATGAATGGCAAGGATGCATCCCCTAAATGCACAACCGAATCACAACAAAATATCACGTTGCAACTAGTGGGGTGCCAAGAGTCATGTCCTGGTGCTATCCAACATCTTTATCAATCACTTGGATGATGGAATAGAAGACACGCTTATCCAATTTGCAGATGGCACCAATTTGGATGGCTAATACCCCAGAGGACAAAGATATGGATCCTAATGACCTTCACAGATTAGAGAGATGGGCCAGAACTAACACAATGGACTTCAACAGGGAGAAAGGTTCGATAGTACACTTAAGCAATAAAAATGAAATGCAGAAATGTAGAGTAGCTTGAAAACAGTGCTTTTGAAAGGTCTCTAGGAGTCTTCGTTTCAACTCTGGAAAGGTTATAATATTGAAGATAGAGCAGAATTGTTTTCTGCTGCTTTAGGGCACAACGGAGCCATGGATCCAAATTGCAGGATCCCACCTAAACAGTGTAAGAAGAATTTTGTGATGGTTCGAGTTGTCCCACAATGGAATGTGCTGCTTCCTGGGAGTCTGGTGGCTCTTGATTTAAAAGCATCCCTTTACCTTTTCTTAACAGCAAAAGGGAGACACTTATTATCGTGTCAGAAGCAAATTGAGAATATAGTTACCATGTATAAAAAAACCACAAACGAAGTTACAAACTTTCCTTTGACCAGAACCTGGCCTCTTGGAGTGCCTCTGGTGTGGCTGTAAAGAGGTCCTCCGTTGTGCATGTGGCAGAGCTCAGGCTGCATTGTAGGAAGTGGTCTGTGGTTTGCTCTCCACACTTGCATATTGTGGATACTTTGAGGCCCCATTTCTTAAGGTTGCATCTCATGGTACCAGAGCGCAGTCTGTTCAGCGCCTTCCAAGTCACCCAGCCTTCTGTATTGCCCAGGAGGGAGTTTCTCATCTGGTCTCAGCCAATGATTGAGATTCCAGGTTCTAGCCTGCCACTTTTGAACTCTCGCTTGCTGAGGTGTTCCTGTGAGTATCTACGTAGATCTTAAGGAAGCTGTTTCTTGATATAAGGCATTGACTTGCTGGCTGATATCCGAACAGAGGATGGGCCAGAGGTGTCAATGTGTTGGTCCTTTCATTGCTGGCTGCTACTTCCCGGAAGATATCAAGTAGTGCAATACTGGCTAAACCAGTTGTTCCCAACCTGTGGAGCATGGACCACCAGTGGTCTGCAAGAACTAAAATATGGTCCACGGCTTCACCATTACTACACTGTTGCAATGAGAGCAACAGGTCTCATTAAACCCTCTTATAGTGCCAAGGCTTATTAAATATAGTTTTCTGTGGGCAAGCAGCTGACGACTATTGGATGGCATATGTTCTGTATCAGAACCTAGAGCTGATACGATCTATACAATGTTATTTTCTGACACCCCAAATAGCCAAACGGTCACTAAAGTTGACCAAAAACTGATTCATAATGTTGGAGAGTGGTCCCTGGTCAAAGTGGTCCCAGGACAAAAACAGGTTGGGAACTACTGGACTAAACAGTAATAATTTCTCCAGTTGTGTTAGGTGTAGCAATAGGAGGTTATTGGAAGGGAAAGATAATTGACACAAGCCAATGGAAGAAGAGGAAGGACCTTGCAACACCTCCTCCCTTTCTGCCACTCTCCATTAGAGAATAATTTCCTATCTAAAAGACCAATGCATGGTATGACAACACAAATATTAACTTGACCCAAAATATTAATAACACCATCATATTTGACAGCAGAGCAAACAATTAGCGCTGGGAAGGTTGAACCCATGGTTGGAAAAGGGCTTAAGATGAATGGATGGAAGACTTTCGAGACACTTTAGTGGATTTGCTGACTCTTTTAGCAGCCCTCCTCCTCCAAGCAATCCAACCACCTCTTTTAATCAAACACAGTATCTGCCATTCCTTTTAACAACCTGAATGTTCCACCTGCCATGACTTAGTAGTTACCTTTTGGCTTTCTTGAAGGGCCTATAATGATGAATAAAAACACTGACATCCAATCACTACCTTTGAGGAGGCATGACTTCCATGGAAACCCAAAACCTCCCCATTTGCAAATTCTCTTTGGGACTCTCTAGCTCTTCCAGTGTGGATCGACAGCCAGCTTCCAACAGAAGTCAGTCATAAAGTCACACTAGAAGACCTTGATTAAAAGAATTATGATTTTAATGCATTTCCTGTGCTCCTGACCCCAGCAAATGTGAGTAGCTTACTGTATCTCTGCAATTGCAGTCAACCATCTCCGTTCCAAGCAGTCAATAAGAAATGAGTATCTTATGACACACAAAAACGCGAACATCTAGCCTTCAAGAGTAGTAACTTTTCCATGGTTAAAGGAGATGGAATTGTATTGCTTTGTCCAATAATTGGAGCAATCTCTGTTTGCATTGACATTACTCAGTCCCATCTTAACAGACAACTAAGCACTGTTGGAATAATGCAATTTGACCCCACTTGAACCTCCATGGCTCAATGGTAGGGAATTACAGAGGCTGTAGTTTTACAAGGTCTTTAGCAGTCTTCTCCACTGGCATCCCACCAGACTACAAACCCAATCATTTCCATGGCAGTTAAAGTAGTATCAAACTGCATTGTTTCTACAATGTACGTCTACATTGTAGAAATAATGCAGTTTGATACCACCTGCGGCGAACCAAATTACTGAAGCTTGCATTAGATTGTTCCACTGATGATTGCTTTGGAGCATACACTTTTCTGGACCAGAACCTACTAGATTAGATGCAGGCACAATTCTTTAAT